ACATAAAGAACATTTGCAGTTGCATCAGGAAATCTCCAATGAAGGCTCACCTTCATAGAAGCTATTAAAAATGACTGGCTTCCTGGGACATGATCAATCCCTGGAGCCTCTCCTGCAGAGGTAAGAGGGTTAGCACACACACGAGGCAGTCTAGAGGTGAAACCGTGTGCTGAGTGCGTTTTTATTTTTCCAGAAGGGTGGAAACTGTAATAAAAGGTGGTCTGTGTCATTTCAGCTGCTGCCATGATGAATTTCGGAGGTAATCAGACACAGAGCAGTGGGCCACGCAGGAAGAGGGAGGAGTCGTGAGTATCTCAAAGACAACATGCTCCTACCGCAGGCTCCAGCGGCGAGTGGGCAAGCAGCTCATTCCAATTAGGCCAGCACTAACATCCCAACTGACTTTTGAGCTCACCTGTATAGGACTGCACGTGTGACAGCCAGTGAGATCTGTCTTGCTTTCTATATTTTAATTTCCAAAAGAATTTTGATGAGTAAATATACACAAAGTAAAATTACCCTTTAGGCATTGCCTAATACAACAACTTCAGGAAGTCACTTTTCTTTAACAAGTGCCAAGGCAAAGTGGGTAAGTCAGGCCCCAGGGGTGGCGACCCAAAGTTTCCAGGAAAAAACAAAAACAAAAACCTCACTAGAAAGATAACACTTGAAAACTTAGCTCATTGCTTATAAAGCTTATTGATGCGCCATTATGACTGGCATTGTGCTTTTTTTTTTTTTTAATTTGATAACTGCTTCAAGCAATATTTACTCAAACAGAATTTTTAAAATATAGCTTATAAATAAGTATTTCAGTTTAGATAACGTCCTCTTAGAAGAAAGCTTATTGGGAAGAGCGTGAAACAGGCATGAGGGGTTCTGAACCCAACGGAGACGTATTAAACCATAATCACTGCTTCTCCTGGTAAAACTTTCCATTAGGATATACATTTAATTTGTTCATCTTTTTTTTTCTTTTTGGTGAAATTTTTACATTTTCTGGTGAAATTCTGTTTTAGACAAAGCACCCTAAACTTGGACTAGAACTAGAAGTACTCATTTGCATTCTGAATATCTCTTACATATTGTAACAATAAATCAAAATCCTACAGAAGACATTTTCAAACTTTCCACAATGTGTATCTCACGATCAGAAATGTGCAGCGAATCAAATTCTTGAAAATGTCAAATCGATATTATAATATCAGAAAGCGACCAGCACAGAGGCTCATGCCTGTAATCCTGACATTTTAGGAGGCTGAAGCAGGAGAACTACTTGAGGCCAGGGGTTCGAGAGCAGCCTGGGCAACACAGTGAGACCTCATCTCTACAAAAAATAAAAACTGGCCGGGCGCGGTGGCTCAAGCCTGTAATCCCAGCACTTTGGGAGGCCGAGGCGGGTGGATCACGAGGTCAAGAGATCGAGACCATCCTGGTCAACATGGTGAAACCCCATCTCTACTAAAAATACTAAACATTAGCTGGGCATGGTGGTGCGTGCCTATAATCCCAGCTACTCAGGAGGCTGAGACAGGAGAATTGCCTGAACCCAGGAGGCGGAGGTTGCGGTGAGCCGAGATCGCGCCATTGCACTCCAGCCTGGGTAACATGAGTGAAACTCCGTCTCAAAAAAAATAGAAAATAAAAAAAATAAAAATAAAAATAAAAATAAAAATAAAAACTCAAAATTTCAGCCAGGTGTGGTGGCATGGGCCCATGGTCTCAGCTACTTGGGAGGCTGAGGGAGAGGATCGCTTGAGCCCGGGAGTTTGAGGCTGCAGTAAGCCATGATCATGTCACTGCACTCCATCCAGCCTGGGCAACACAGTGAGACACCTTTACCAAAGAAAAAAAAGACACTTAAAAGACATATTCTAATATCACAAACCAACATAGTAATGCCATCCCAAAAAAATGACCCATATTGATCATGAGTGCCAGGCACTAACAGCGTACCATGCTGACCTTGTGGGAGCCCACCGGGGTTGTACGTTTTACAAAGTAGATACAATGTCAAATTAAGGCTGGTACAAACAACACTAAAAAATAATGACTTGAGCATAAACAAAGGCATTTCAAATTAAAAGAGATAAAATACAACCATCTTTATTGAAATCCAATCAAACTAATTCGTGAAGAGTCAGCCAGAGATGGGTAGGCAATCACAAACCCAGCTCCCAACACAACGTTTGCATAAGAGCACCCAGAGGCTGACGTTCACTCGTGGGTTACAAACTCACCCTCATTTGGCACATGTCTGTTCACGTGTCGTCCACGATCAGATGCCATGTGAGTGAGTGTTTCAGAAATCCTGAAACAGAGCTCTCCTGAGCAACACGACAGAACCCCCTGCCACCACACGCGGCTGATCTAGGGCATATGCAAGGCAGCTGGTTTGAAATCAGATGTGCTGTGAGTGTCAAATACACACTGGATTTCAAAGACTTCATACAAAAAAAGGTAAAGTGTGTCACTAATAACTTTCATATTGATGACCTGTTGAGATAATATTTTGGAATATAGTGAGTGTGTCGTAGGAAATTTGACCTTGACCAAAGAGAGACATGACCTGCACACTTAGCTTCTGGGAAATGTCAAATCCAAATTTGATGGCCGGGTGCGGTGGCCCATGCCTGTCATCCTAGCACTTTGGGAGGCCGAGGAGGAGAGATCACTTGAGGTCAGGAGTTCAAGACCAGCCTGGCCAACGAGGCAAAACCCTGTCTCTACTAAAAAAACAACAACAGCATGTGTTCAAAGGTTAATACTTGAAAAGCTAATACTTTGTATTTCTCATCAAGGACATTTCTAAGTGAAACTGGCTTAAGTGGGTGGCGGTGACTAATCAGCGAATATTGGCACAGATAATTAGCACCGATAATTAGCACAGATGGGGCCCCTGACCTCATCAGCATTAAGGCAGCAGTGCTTTTGCTCACTCTTGCATTTTACACCATGAGGAAAGCCAAAAGAAAGCCTTTGCATTATTATTTGAAAAAGGCTTGACTTGGTGGAGGCCCTGAAAGAGTCCCAGGGAACCTCAGAGGTCCAGGGACCCCATTTTGGTAACCACTTGTTTGAAAAACTACCTTAAGAAGTCAGACAGATAGCCCAACAGGTAGGCCTGGCAAGGTGGCTCACGCCTGTAGCCCCAGCACTTTGGGAGGCCGTGGTGGGTGGATCACTTGAGGTCAGGTGTTTGAGACCAGCCTGGCCAACATGGTGAAACCCTATGTCTACTAAAAATACAAAAATTAGCTGGGCGTGGTGGTGCTTGCCTGTAATCCCAGCTACTCAGGAGGCTGAGGCAGAAGAATCGCTTGAACCCAGGGGGCAGAGGTTAGAGTGAGCCGAGATCGCACCACTGCACTCCAGCCTGGGTGACAGAGTGAGACTGCAGACAGGTACCACAATAAAACTAGAAGCCAGGATGCCTGTTGAGTTTTCTGATTCTGAGATTGACAAGTCATTAAACTGCACTAGCAAATACAACCTCCATGCTCTGCCTGGGAAAAGTCTGACAAAACGGTTAAGACTCTGCGCGGTCAACGCGTGTGCAGCTTCACATTCACATGTGTCTAGCATCCTGAGCTTTCAGAAGACACCACAGAGGACTCAGTTCTCCCTTGCCCCAGTGCAGCAGTTTCCACCCCCACCAATCTGCAAATTGCAATTCCATAAAGAATGGGCAGAGCCTGCACATGATCAGGGCATAAGCCCTGTTTCCTGATCCCTCCAACCAACAGGAATAACGCCTGCAAAAGATCCGAGCACACGCACTGTGCACAGTGGATGAGCTGGGGGAACACAAGCACTAGCAAGGCTGGTAGAGCAGGCTCAAAGCAGTTCCCACCACCGGAGACAGCACCTTGCCCACCCGAGGAAACTGGCCTTTAGGTTTTTTCTTAGTTTTGCAGGCAGCAGCTCTGTGGTGCATTCACAGAGCTCCTTACTGAGAACTCAGCTGGGCTCCCACCGGCTCATACACCTGCCTTCTAAGTCACCGTGAATACAAAGTCAATAATTGAATTAACTTGTTGATCTACAAACTCCTGACTGTTTAAAGCTCTTCTAATAAACAGTCCAACCCAGGAAATGACCTCTGCCACCTAACAGATAGTTTCTTTTATGTGCACAAGGTTGCTGCAACATTTATAGTGCAGCCGAGAAATCACCCGATCTGAGAACATTAAAAAAAAAAA